GAATTTCCACTACTTTCAGGTGAAAGTGTTTCTAAACTATTTGGAGGCAAGGAATGGAAACAGAGATGAGTTATGAGGATGTTGCAATATTCCACATGAAAGATGATGATAGCTTAGGCCAGGGTGGTAATAGCAGAAGTGGTAAAAAGCAATGGAATTCTAGATATACTGTGAAGGTAGCACCAACAAGGATGTGCTGATGGACTGCCTATGATATATGAGAGAAAGATGAGACAAAGGTAACTGTGAGGTCTGAGGCCTGAGTAGTGATGCCATTCACTGAGACAAGAAGTGGAGGTAGAGTAAATTCAGAGAGAAAGAAAAGATTAAGTGTTCAAAGAACATATTACCTTTGACATCCTCCCGGACATCTGAGTAGGAATGCAAATAGGCAGAGGTGTCTAAAAGTCAGGGCTGGAGATAAATGTTTGAGATGCATCGGCACATACACGGGATATAAAGCCAGGCATCTGCACAGAGTCACGTAGCGGGTGATTGTGTAAAAGAGAAGAAGTCTGGGGACTGAGACCCGGAGGGTCCTGATATTTAAAGGTCATAGAGAGAAGAGGCTCCAACAAAGGAGACTGAAATAGAGGGCAACCTGGGAGAAGAATAACCAAGTGAATCCAGCACGTCAGAGACAAATGAAAAAACTGTTCATGACGGAGGGGAATGAACTGTGCCAAATACGGTGGCAGGTCAAGTAAGCAGAGAGCTGAGAGTGAACACGGGCTCTGGCAGCACAGAGGTCACCGGCCACACTGTAGAAGCAATTTCCCTGGAGGGCAGGAATGGAGGAGACAAAGTGAAGACAGTGCCTTTCAAAATCCTTTAGAGGAAATTTCCTGTCAAGAAGAACAGAGGAAAGATGCAATAATCGGAAGGGGACAAGAATTAAGAGTTGGTTTTTATATATTGATTTATTTAAAGCAGGGAGATGTCACAGCATGGTTGTTTGCTGATTGGGAAAAAAATGATAAAGTAAGAAAGACAGAGAAGTGGAGGAGTGAGACCCTTCGGTAGGTGGGGGGTGGCCTGCAGTGCACACAGTGGGGAACCAACCACAGGTGGAGTCACGGGCCTCTGGGAACAAACGCTGGGGAGTGGGTACATTTGGTGACAGGGGATGGAGAAGTTCTCTTCCACTAAGTTTTCTTAGTGAAGTGGGTGGCACGGTTTTGAGCTGAGGACAAGGAAGGGGGAAAGAGTCTCTTGAGGAGACAGGAGAAAAGAGTGAATTCATCATTGAAATACAGAAGGATTGCCAGGCAGCTTCTGAGGGCCCACTGCAAGTTTGTGGTCATAACTTAACGTTAGACCAGTCAACAGTGTTGCATTTTCCTTACACCATTTCAGCAGCTCAAGCCCATGTGAGGAATAAGCAGAGTTGGAGTCAACCACTATTGGGGTTTTTGTAAGGGTATACCAGCTAAACAAAGAAAGCAGGGAGTTGACTGCATTAAAAAAATATAATCAATGGATATTTACCTGGTTTGCGTTCTAAAAGCTGCTGCAGGTGAAATACTGCTTGTTCATAGTCCTGTTTTCTGGACATGAGATCAGCCATCATCTATAAAGATAAAAGTTGGTTCTAAAAATACTGCCATATATTTTACTAACCATATTCTTTCAATTAAGATTTAGTGCACGAAAACGCATATGAAAACATGAGGAGGGGCAACATTTTATAAAAAGGAGCCATTTAAAGTTCAGGCACACCTTGAGCAGGATGGCTTAGAGATGAGTGTAACAGAAGATAATCAAGGATGTGAAACAGAACACTTTGTCTGCAAAACTGTATTTTTAGCAAAAAATACATTTCTAGCAGTTGTTTTAAAAATAGAAATTCAAAG